GCTTCCTGGAGGCACGTGGCAGTAGCAGTGGCGGCAACATGGCTCTGGGACCCAAGCATAAGGTTGGGGGAGGGAGGGGAGGTGTCTGGCTGTGGGGAAGAGGAGGGGAGGAGGATTGGTTGGGGGGGGTGCACACAACAAACCAGCCACTCTGCATACGTGCCCCAGCACCTGGAGGGAGATGCGTGGCTGTAACGGCAGCAGCTCTGGGACTCAAGAATTAGGTGGGAGCAGGGCTGGGCAGGAGGTGTGCCTGGCTCTAGTCTGGGGAAGGGAAGGGGGATTGGGTTGGGGTGTGCTGTGCATGGCATCCCACCCAGCACGTCTCAAGGCTGGCCGCTCAGTGCATGCACCCCAGCAGCTGGAGGGAGATGCACATGGATGTAGCAGTAGCTCCATGCTATGAGAATTAGGTTGGAAGGGGGCATTGAGTTGGGTGTGTGTGCGCGTGTGCGCACACTTGGCTTTGGGGAAGGAGATTGGGTTAGGGGTGTGTGCCTGGCTCTGGGGAAGGGGATCGGGTTAGAGTGGGGAGGAGGGGGGGTGCCTGGTGGAGGGGAAGAACAGCTAGCACGCTTCCTGAGACCCAGGATCCCTATGTACTGGTCCCAGTTGTCTGTTCCCTCCCCCTGGTCAGCCCCCCTCCCCTCCCACGAGTCCCCTGCTCCCACCAGCACAGTTGGGCCCACATTAGTGAGGCCTGGGGGATTTTGGAGCAGATGGTTTTTTGCATCACTTGTGTGACCTTGACTGACTTTTCTGTGGTTCAGTGTTCCGACTCAAAACAGGTTCCCTGTCCCTCTCATAAAGACAACACTGAAGCATTTTGTGTTTGACATATATTTAAAAATGAAGCCTGGCCAAAGAGCCCCCATCTGGCCATAGAATCATAATACTCCTGCATCCCCCTCCCCCAACCTCAAATCTGAGCCTATCATATACTGGAACCCCCTGTCCTGAGCCTCTCTCATCCCCAAACTTCTGCATCCCCATAGCCCCAGTCTTCTGCCACAACAGTCCTGCACTATCCACACACTGCAAATCTGTGTCCTGAGCCCATCATGTTCCCAGCCACCCTGCCCTGAGCTCCTCATGCACCCCAGCCCAAACTCCTATACCCTCACAGCCACAAACCTGCAGCCTGCTCAGCAACTCAACACTATCCAGTCTGGAGCCCCCTCCCTGAGCCAGCATCCTCTTCTCTATTTCCTCCTGCACCCAAATCCCCTCCCAGAGTTTGCAACTCTCACCCCTTCCCAGTGCTTTTTTTGTGATGGTATGCCCCAGGATGGTGTACCAGCAGCTATTTTCCCCCAGCGTGGTGTGGTTTTTTTTGGTTGTTGTTGTTGCTCAACAATCCCCCCCACCCCCGGCCATTCTTCACACTCTATCCACCGCTATTTTGGCTCTGCGTCTCTAACGGGTTAGCCGCCCCTGCTCTAGAATGTGCTGACAGTCAGCTGGTATCTAGGGAGCTACCATTCTGCTAAGGCATGGTTTATTCTGGTTCCCAGCCATTGGTTAACAGTGTTATGCTGAGGGCTCCAGCAAGGCCTCCCTTCCCTCCTTGTGATTTTATGGGAAGGTGATAACTCTTCATCCCTGAAAAGCAGAATGTTTAAACTGAAATTATGCAGGGGGCTAAACATTGCTTCTTGGCCATTTTGATTTCCTCATCCAGACATTCATGCTCCATGTATCCAGTGATCTCCACATTGTCTCATGCCCCATAGAATCTCTATGGACAGCAATAAGAAGAATATAGTGATAGTGACTATGAAATACTAAAGGAGATTAAAGAGGATACAAAAATTTAAAAAAAACCCTCAATAATAATGGAGGATTTCCACTGTCCCCATATTGACTGGGTATTTGCCACCTCAGGATGCAATGCAGAGATAAGGTATCAAGAAACTTTAAGTGACTGCTTCTTGCAGCAGTTGGTTCTGGAACAGACAAGGAGAGGCAATTCTTAATTTAGTCCTAAGCAGAGCACAGGATCAGGTCCAAGAGGCAAATACAACTGCTCTGTTTGGAAATAGCAACCATAATACAATTTTAACATCCCTGTAATGGGAAAAATATTTCAGCAGCCCAACACTGTGGCATTTAATTTCAGAAAGGGGAACTACACAAAAATGAGTTAAACAGAAATTAAAAGGTACAATGCCAAAAGTAAAATCCCTGCAGCTGCATGGAGACTTTTCAAAGACACCGTAATAGAGGCCCAACTTGAACCAGAGAATCATAGGGCTAGAAGAGACCTCAGGAGGTCATTGAGACCTACCTCAAATTAAAAAAAACACAGTAAGAGAACTATAAAAGTGCCACCACGGCTTAAAGTAGGAATAAGAGATCCTCCGGATTAGGGCTTTATTCCGGAGGATCGGGCCAGTCTAGACGCTTTTTTCCGGCTTTTCCCCAAGCCGGAAAAAAAGCGGCAGACATCTTTATTTAAATCCCGCGGGGGATATTTAAATCCCCCACGGATTTCCCTATTCTGAAGTTGAAAATTAGCATGCCCCTTCCGAAAAAGGGGCCAGTGTAGAAGTAGCCTTGGAGTCCAGGAATAATAATCGAAATCATGGTTCGCTAAGAGTGCAGAACAGTTTGCAATTCTAAGCTGCAGTGTGGCAGAGGAGTATACTTTCCTACCAAACATTAACTTTTTTGTGCTTTCTATAGGTGTGGATCTGAATTGTGGAAGTTTGGAGAGGTTATTGATGGCTTGCATTACCAGTGAGTTGGGCTGCGGATGAAAGAAGAGGAAATTAAGATCCTTAGGAGGAACTAAGTACTTCCTAATGGCTCTTTTACAGGTTAGTTGGATGGAAGCTGCAGTTTGCCATATCTTGTCTGACACCTCCATAATAGCCTCATTGATAGATAGTGTGACATTACCTGAGAAGTGGAATGGATATTTTTAAGGAAGCAGTATTTTTCCTTTACCTCCTGTAGTTGGATTTCTTGGCTGGTGGCCACTCTTTTCAAAAGTTCTTGGAATTGACGTTGTCCGTTGGGTACATATTCTCTGGCATAACAGAGTAGCAATGATGAATTGTCAGAAGCTTGTGTCAGTCTGCTCATCTGGGATACGACCCGCCTCCTCCTCCGAAATGACAGTGGTCAGGAGGGTTCGGGGATGAGGGTGAGGGGGAAGGGAAGCAAGGGTGGTGAAGCTCTCCTCGCAGGGGTAGAAGGAGCTGTGGAGAGGCACTTGCAGGAGCACCAGTGTTCCCATGGTGGACAATGGAGTGGGTAGTGTGAAGGAGGGCATGGCAGTCCCAGAACCATGAAGGGTGACATCTGTCATGATGATAGCAATAGTGCTGGGATGCACTGGGAGAGGAATGTTGGGACGAGAAGACACTCCTCTGACTGGAGTGCATGGGAGAGCTCACAACGTGGGGAGTGCAAGGGGGAAATTATGCTGGAGATGGCTCTCTAGATGGAGGGAGAGAAGTGTGTCATCCACTGCCCCATCCTGCACTAATGAGGCATAAAAGGGATCTGGCTGTGATCATGCAGCATGTCTTCCACCAGTGCCAAGACTCCTAAGGGAGGGACTCTATGTTGATGCTATGGAAGTTGGCACCAATGGCTTGCAGTGCACCGGTTTAACTGCCTTGGTCTTGATCAGCACCAGGTCTCATGCCAGCATTTGTGCTGGAGGTTTATGAGGTGTCTCTCTGGTACTGAGGATGAGCAAGTTGGCAATGAGGCAGTACAGGTGGTAACAGAGGCATTGCCGGTGGACGGTCTCCACAGTGATGTACCAGAGGTGCTGGGTTCATCTCCATTGCTCACCCTAGGAGATGGTGTAGGAGGAAGAGTCCTCACCCAGGAGGCTCTCTTCGAGTGATTCTAGAGTGGTGGTGAAGTAACCTTTTTCTTGGTAGCCCCCACAGGGGGTCCGGAGGGCTCTGGGTCTTCCAAAGGCTGCATAACTTTTTCAAACAAAATCATGCAGAGCCAAAGCTCCCTGTCCTTTCAGGCTACGTCACTGCTCATTTTTTTTTGGTAAGTGAGCTTTGCCTAAGCAGTGAATGCATGATGAGTGTCCGTTAGAGTCAGGCATGGGATCTCCACCTGCATCACATTTCTTATATCCTTTCCTACCATGTGTTTTAATTTTTGTATTTGTTTTAAAACAGGGAATGGAGAAACAGGATGGAGGAGGGAGGTAACAAATTCTAGGAGGTTTGCCTCAGGCAAGTGCTGCTGCTGTCCTACAACCCTCTCAAACAAAGAAGCTTCCTTTTTCTTTTCTTGGTAACCAGAACAAGGGGTATAACTAATGAAGAATAACTACAATACAAACTAGGAAAATTCTAAGTAAATACACGGAGGAGAGAGTGGAGCTCTGTCTGTGACCGAGGATGGTAAGCGAGGAACTCGGGGGAGGGGAAGGGGTGTCAGGCTACATGTGCACAAGGAGTGAACAGCGCCAGGCACCTATCCTGCATGTGCAGCCCAACTGACAACTGCTGTAAAAAAAGCTCACATCTGCAGCTCCAGGGTAACCCATCATCAAGAGTGGAACACCACGGGGAAATTACTTGTAAAAGAACGTTTCACTGCCCCACTGTTTTAGCATCTAGTGAATTCTGGCTCATTAGGCAGGATATGGACAAATAATAAATGCTTTTCAGCACAGCCTAGAGTCACATGAGTGTGCATGTCTGGGAACAAGCCAATCCGACCACACATGGAAACTCAGGGACTAGCAATCACTATGCTACCGGGGGGTCCCAGCGTTCCTGTAGGATCTGGCGAGGGGAGGATTTAGTAGCCTTTCTGCATATGCCCTTTCAGGATAGTAGGGAAGCCCAGCCAAAGGGTGATAGAATGTGGTGGGGGTGGAGACAGGTGTCTAGAGAGAAAGTGGGGCCTGGCCCAAATGTCCTTTTCATAATGTCCATGGAAAGGGGATCCCAGCTGGGGCAGAAAGGAAGGGGAACAGGAGGCAGTCTCTGGTGCCCAGGCTCTAATAAAAGTGTTTTACATACTAGCTAATGAAATCTAAGGTTTCCTCCCTGGGGGATTTGCTGATGCAGGAGTTGTGTGGATTCTCTGATGCCTACTAAGGTGTGAGGTGCGTCTGAAGCCTTTCCCACAGTCAAGACATTTATATGGTCTCTCCCCTGTGTGGGTTCTCTCGTGGACAGTAAGTGCTGATTGGTCAGTGAAACCTTTCCCACACTCATGGCATTTATAGGGTCTCTCTCTTGTGTGGCTTCTCTCATGGGCAGTAAGTGCTGATTGGTCAGTGAAACCTTTCCCACACTCATGGCATCTATATGGTCTCTCCCCTGTGTGCACTCTCTGATGGATAAGAAGGTTTGACCTCTGTCTGAAGCTTTTCCCACAGTCAAAGCATTTATATGGTTTCTCTCCTGTGTGGGTTCTCTCATGTCTAATGAGGACCGATCGGTCAGTGAAACATTTCCCACACTCTTGGCATTTATATGGTCTCTCTCCCGTGTGGGTTCTCTCGTGGACAATAAGAGCTGATCGTACTGTGAAACCTTTCCCACACTCATGGCATTTATATGGCCTCTCTCCTGTGTGCACTCTCTGGTGGATGAAAAGATGTGAACTCAGACTGAAGCTTTTCCCACAATGGAAGCACTTATATGGTTTTTCTCCTGTGTGGGTTCTCTCATGTTTAATAAGGTCTGATCGCTCTGTGAAACCTTTCCCACACTCTTGGCATTTATATGGTCTCTCTCCCGTATGGATTCTCTGGTGTTTAATAAGGTTCGACCTCTGCTTGAAGCTCTTCCCACATTCCAAGCATCTATACGGCCGCTCACCCGTGTGGGTTTGCTGATGTCCAGTAAGGTGAGATCTCCAAGTGAAACTTTTCCCACACTCAAAGCATTTATGGGATTTATCTCCCATGGAGATACTCTCATGTTCAAGATGGGATGACAGTTCACTCAAACTTTTTCCACATTCCCAGCACGTGCAGAGTCTCTTTCCTGTGTGCCCTCTCCGGGGCAGAATAAGGCCTGACTTCTCACTCAATCTGTTCCCACAGTCTGAGCCTTCACAGGGTCTCTTTCCATTGTGATGTGTCTGCTGGTGTGGAGTTTCCTTGATATCCTTGGATCCCTCCACTTGCCTGCTTGTATTGTTCTCCAGCTGCCTGTCTGCCCTATGTCGATTTCCCCATGGTTCCCCCTGTTCCACAGACTGGAAAAAATCCTGTTCAGCTCCTGCCAGAAATATTCTCTGTGGTTCTATGGTTCCAGGCCCTTCTTGCTGTAGATTCTCCTCCTTGTTCTCCCTCAACGTCCTAGCACCTGCTGAGAGAGAGAATCCAAGGAGTCACCACTGTCTGTGCTAGAGAAAGGACCAACAATGGCAGAGACAGAAAGCACAACACAATAATAGTTGGGGAGACTGCGACATTGGATTCTGCTTCCACACCCAACCCAAACACTCTCAGGGAAGGAAACGTAGGGAAGAAACTCCTAACAAGAAGGCTAGGGAGTTGTGATAGGTATTTGCCAGGACAACATCTGCAGCCCTACCTGGGAGACATGGGGCAGAAGTAAGGACTCTCACTCACTACTCACTTTGGGGAATCCTAACTTTTTCCTGCACTCAGAGGGTTTCTGTGTGTCAGTTTCCCTGACTCCTCACCTCTCAGGATCTCTGTTTCTTTGGCAGCCTGGAGATCTGGGGCCCATGACTCTTCCCCTTGTTCCAGCCAGGGAATCAGGTCAGGTTTGGGAATGGAGAATCCTGCACAGGGATGAAATCAAGCAAAGTGAAGGCACATGGAGTCTGGGCAGAGTATGTATCACAAGGAACATTTCCTGAGCTCCATCTCATCTTGCATAGGACTGTGGTAATTCAGACATCTTGAGAGCAATAGACTTCTGGGGCAGAATGGGGTAGGAAATTTGACAAAGTCAGGATTGTATTCACTCTGTTCATTTTGTTATGTTGCATGTGATTTCTATTGTCCTGTAGTAACCCTGTGTTTGTGTCTCAGTGTTCCTGGGCACTGCACCACTATGTAGATGGGAATTTGGGGGTGACTCACTGAGGGAAGATGCCCAGGCCAGCACATTCACAATGGCCCAGGCTCATGGTAATCTGAGTCTGGGAGGAGTGTGTAATACCTTCTGCCTGGGAAACTAGACAAAGGCTTGAGACAGGGCAGGCTGCAGCCAGGGATGAGCTATGAAGTAGGGATGTAATAATGTAATCAATGAACTGATTAGCAAAAGCTTATAGATTAATGCTATAGACATGTATTCTGCTGCCGGCCCTCTTCCCTCCCCCCGCAGTAAATTTTTTAGCATGCTGGCCAGCAGCCCAGCTCAGTCCTAGCTCATGCTGAGTCCAGGACCTACCCCTGCTGCAGCTCTGCATTTAGGAGCTAGGCAGGCAGGCAGGCAGGCAGCCCAGCTCAGTTCCAGCTTGCGCAGGGTCCTGTGAAGGGAACTGGTTTTTAAATTGGGTCCCCTCATGGACCAGCTCCCACGCGGCTGCCTCTGATACAGAGGCAGCAGCGCAGAGTGGCAGGGGGATCCTCTGTAGTGGGGCCAGAATGCATTGTCCCCTGGTCCTGCCCCCTGTCCCTGTCCCTAGGGACTATAGAATAACTGACTAACAGATAAGAAAGTAAGATTACTCGTCTATTAAATTAACCGATATTTAACATCCCTACTGTGGAAGGGAGTCTTGCTTGCTTGGGATAAGTGTGACAGGTTCCTTATTGTAACAACTACTAGGGATTTTATTATCAAGTTGGTGGGAAAATGACCTGATGAGTGTCCCTCCAGAGAACATCAGGTCTGGATGTCCATTCAAGGATGGGTAGACTCCTCTCCTGCATTCAGAATTTCCCAGGAAGTGGAGGTTGTTCTGGTACAGGCTAGGTCTGTCTGTCTGGACTATGGGAGTTATTAACCTTAGAACTAAAAAAGAAACTCTGCAGCAAATTGCTGAAGAGTAGTGCAATGTCAACCATCAGAGTATGGTGGCAGGCAGAATGGCTGAGAACTGTATGGATTATTTTTAATTGCCTTAAGTCAGAGAAGCTGAACCTGAAAGGTCAAGCAGACGCCTTAAAGCAAAATTCCATTTCCCCTCACCACCACTCTTCAAAGAGAGGTACACAAACATAGGGTAACTAGTGTTTCTTGGCATTTGGTATTTAGCATTTAATATTTAAAGTACCGCAATGTATAAAGTTCGATATCTTTTCATAAACTAAGTTGTGGCTGTTACCAGAGGCAGCCAGAAGCAGGAGAATGGATAGAGATTCTGGATTTCTTGTTTCATGGTAAAATAGAAAATAAGAGCCATTAAAAAAAAAAAAAAAGAGCATCCTGCAGCAAAAAAACTTCAGGACCAGACTTCAAAGAGAAACTGCTGAGCTACAGTTCATCTTCAAGTTTGACACAATCAACTCAGGATTAAACAAAGACTGTGAATGGCTCACTAACAACAAAAGCAGCTTCTCCTCTCTTGGAATTCACACCTCCAGATCAGCTACTAGAAGTGGGCTTCCTCCTCCCTGATAGGATCCACCTCCTCATCTCCAGCCTGATTCTGGCCTGCATATTTATACCTGCCTCTGGAAATTTCCACTACATGCATCTGACAAAGTAGGTCTTTGCCCACGAAAGCTTATGCTCCAACACTTCAGTTAGTCTATAAGGTACCACAGGACTCCTCGTCGCTTTTGCAGATTCAGACTAACATGACTACCCCCAATACTTGACACCCAGCTTCTGATACCCGAGTGGACAGGAATCCTTACCCAGCCAGCTCACAGCCTCATAATTCTCCTGCATCACAGCCCAGTAGAGGGCTCTCTGACCCGGATCCAGTAGAGCCCATTCCTCCTCTGAGAAATACACAGCCACCTCCTCGAAGGTCACCTGCTCCGCCACAGCCATTTCCTTCCCCTGGCTCTGGAGGCCATGGGCTGAGCTGGAGCAAGACATGGGTGTTCTGCAGCCTGGCAGGGGAAGAAGAGCAATTGGACACTTTTCAGAAGGGGCTTTAATCCTTTCCACACCCCTATTCTCCCAGACTCTGTCCCCATTGACACATATGCTTGACTCTGCCATTTTAAGCAAATGCTGAATCTGGATATTATATGAACTAGGGCTGTAAAAAAGTAGTTCAACAGTTGACTACTGGCATTCCTTCCCACCCTTATTGCTGCCTCTATCACAGGCAGCAAGGAGGGGAGGAGCAGGTGCTGGGGCGAATAGTGCCAGTTCCCTCAGGAGCATCTCCATGTTGTGGAAGGAGAAAGGAGGACAGGAGGAGGCAGAAGCACAGCTGAGGTAGTGAGCACCCCTCCTTATCAGGTAATTAGCAGACCAATCAAAATTTAACATCCATAACATGAACTCCTCATCAAATTAGATCTCAAATTCATATTAATTTCTCTTAATACATGGCTTGAGTTTCAACATTGCTGTGCCTGCAACAATGGGCTTCGGTTCTGAGCACCCACCCAATGTTTCTGATAAACAAGCCACATATTCACCTATTTCAATATGGATATAGAGGAACTAAATTTAGGCCCCTGAATTTAAAGCTCATAGTTTTTCCTCCAGCTATTTGTAGCACAGATCTAAACCTTCTCTTCAGGTCTAAACCATGAGACCTCGTAAACT